ATGAAAAAGGAATTATGCGGTAACATACATAAAACATAGAAATATTCCAAGGAATTGATAAATAACCTTCTCCTTTTTTATGAGAAGTCGGTTCATAAAAGATAATTATGTTAGCTTCGAATACTGTATACTGTACCTGCGCAGTTGAGTTCGGCAGCGCTTGTAGGGTTGCAATATCGGCAGAAAAAACATCGATATTTTCGATGTTGATATATTTTAGATTAAAAAACATCGATGTCGAAAACATCGACAAGAAACATCGACAAGAAATGGGGCTCTTCGTGGAATTTAGATTTAGCAAAAATTTAAAGAACAGTAATTTTGTTTATTTGTCGGGCAATATTTTTTCGTAGGGATATACATTGGATTCTTGGCTAAAAACTTCTGTGGTAAAACTGTCCCTTCTTTGCTATTTCAAGTCAAAGAGTAATCTCCTTCTGACCTTTAATAAGGTAAGAATTACGTAACTATCTGAGATTTTATTAAATATGAGATTTTATTAAAACAAAAAATGGAAAAGTTAGTAATTTTTAATAATGTTTATTTTATTTAGTACTTGAATTTAAAAGTTGGGGCATTATATTTAATAAAATCTCAGATAGTTAAGTAACAACGTAGCAACATCCCTAATACGAACTATTCAGCATTCGCAACAGATTATACCAGTTAATAATACATATAGAAGTGCAATGCTTTAAAATGAACTACAAATTTTTTTATATTAGGGTGCTTCACTGTCCATACAAAACAAATAAATCGGTACTGTTTTTCCATCGGAGAAGTAAAAAATATTATATTTTAAGACTTCCGCCAAAACATTTGAGAATAACTAATATTTATAAATCGAGTATTTATATATGTAATTAGTTTTCATAAAGGTCTTATAATTTAAGCTTAAAATATCAGCATAAAAAATTTTAAAAATTGTATCACCTGATCAAAATAATGAGATTTTTTTTAAGTATTTTCAAATCGTTCTAACTCACTTAAATCTTAATATTTTTCCGGATAAATTTTGGCGGAAGTCATAAAATATAATACATTTTATAATTCCAGTGGAAAACCTGCAACTTTTTTTTGGTAATGCACCTTAATATATGTATTTATGTACATATTGCTTATATACTGCATCTCCAAAAAAGTTTCGGTTTTTCCGCCGAGATTACAAAATCTATTATATTTTAAGACGTCCACCAAAATATTTCGGAAAAATATTAAGATTTAAGCGAGCTGGACCGATTTGAAAATACCTCCAAAAATTAAGTTTTTTTATGAATAAAAATAGTTTCTTAAAGAACTTTTTGAAAAAAGTCCCCTCAGATGACAAACTAGATTAAGCTTAAAAAATCTGCATAAAAATATTTAAAAATCTTTTCAACGGAATCGTAAGATTGTGATTTTTGATGCTGTTTTTTTTTTACTTTTTTCAAAGATTGGTTTACGAAAAACTTGAATAACTGGGCCAAAAATGTTCTGATTTAGACTAATGGGATCTCAGTAGAAAGGTATTTTCACACGGTTTTTATTTCTGGCCAAAAAAAACGTCATTCGTGTCCCATCTTGTTTTTTCGAATACCAGCACATCTTAATTCAAGAATGATAGAATACCAGATTGCGCCAATCGAGCTGAGAGCAACTGGCCGTGACGTCAAAATATACCAGAATGAGAGAGCAAGACGAACTCGACAAGAAAAAGAGGAAACATCGAACAAAAGGCAGGATTGCCAAGTTTTGAATTTGAAAAGGCACCAAATTTTTACATAATTTTATTGTAAGGATGCCGATTCAAATGAATAAAATTCAATGTTTCTTGCACGACGTTCGATTTCTTCTGGCATGATTGAAGGCTCTGCACATATTTCGTTGTCGCTTATGATTGCCACTGTGCCATGATTTTATTTAAATTTTTGTAAAATTGCTTAGCACACTTACGATTGCTATAAATTTTGCTTCCATTTTTTTAAGATTTTCTAATTTGAAGTCTTCAAACTAAAAACAAAAGCACCAAAAACGCACCTCAAAAATTTTCGCGTTTTGAATACCCACTAAATTTGGTGCGAAAAGCATCAAGTTGGCAACAGTGAATGTAAACAAAAGTATATTATGACATCAGCGATTGGGTGTATGCTGTCAAACCGGCGAAGAGAGGGTTGGTGCGAAAAGCATCAAGTTGCCAACAGTGAATGTAAACAAAAGTATATTATGACATCAGCGATTGGGTGTATGCTGTCAAACCGGCGAAGAGAGGGTTAGGCGGTCCGCGTATGATGCGACCTTTATTTTCTGGATCGTGATCTTAATTCAACTTTGAATGACGTTCGTTCATCCTACCTTTCTTTTCCATCCTTTGAATTAGTTTATTGGCAAAGAAATAAAAAAAGGTGAGAAAATACCTTTTCAATTTAGTTTGGTTCAGTTATTCAAGTTTTTCCTATACCAATCTTTGAAAAAAGTTAAAAAACAGCATCAAAAATCTCATAATTACGATTCCGTTCAAAATTCTTTTTTTAATTTTTTTTTAATATTTCTATGCAAATATTTTAAGCTTAAACCGTTTTGTCATTTGAGGGTATTTAAAAAAAAAAAAAACTATTTTGATTCATAAAAAATAAACTATTTTTATTCATAAAAAACTCCATTTTTGGAGGTATTTTCAAATCGGTCCAGCTCACTTAAATCTTAATATTTTTCCGAAATATTTTGGTGGACGTCTTAAAATATAATAGATTTTATAATTCCAATGGAAAAATAGTACCGATTTTTTTTTTGTATGAGGAGTGATGCAGTCTAATGTACATATATACTAGGTTTTTGCTGCACGCAATCATTTAACTAATATATAAATAATATTAATGCTGGTGTCAACAGATGATCCCTATAAATCTTCGATTACAGCTCGCAAGGATGTCACGTGATTTACCATATACTTGTTACTTCGTTAAAATGCACTGCGCTTGATATACATACATATACTCCACGCCATTTGAATAGCGCACCCTTTTAATACTTAGTATTTACAGTTTTCTTTTTGTTTATTTAAGCTTCCTTATTCTAAGCATACTCTGCATGTAAACGCGCTATTATTATTAATATTTTTTTATTTTTTTGTTCGTAGGAGAGGGAAATGCTTTATGCACTGGCCGGGGCGCTAGTCTCTATACTACCTTCCCCGAGTGTAGGACTCCCACCGAAGCGTGTTGGTCTACCCACTAAAACCCAAACTCCCACCGCCCGCGCAAGAATCCCGCATCTGGTACCGTAATTCTGAATGTCTTCAGATGCAGCATTATTGGTCGCTCCTGGTGGCAGGCTTCTTCGGCTTTATGCACCGCCTCAACTACTTCACTAATTGCTCCTATAGTTGAGTGTCCCACGTCCTGCAGCCATGTTGTCGTGGTGAAAGGCTTCCCTCGTTTTCTATGGCTGACGTCAAGTGTAGTTTGAACAGCCTCTCCATCATCTTGCCTACTGTGTCTAGCATGCTGAGTGGCCGGAACGATGAAGGAGAGTTTGGGTCCTCTTTGCCCTTGGGTATAAGCACTAGCCTAGCCTTCTTCCATTGGCTTGGAAAGACCCGGGCCAGGACTCATTCTAGCTGCTAACCTGATTGCCTCCGCTGGTATGCCATCGGGGACTGGAGCCTTGTGGGCTTTCATGCTTCGCAGGGCTAACTTCCGCTCGTCTGCCGAAAACAGTGGTGCCTCGGCTTGCTCCCCGACGAACACTGTATCTGCTCTTAGTGGGTGTGTGGGAAATAGTACATCCACTCGGACCTCATCCATCGCTTACGATGGAGTATGGAACTTTTTCATGACTAGTTTGTATCCCAAGCCCCAGGCATCACATTCCAATTCGTCGCATAACGCTTTCCTGCAGTACCGTTTACTCATCTGTATCTCGGCCCCCTGTGCTTTCTTAGCGCTTTTGTAGGTTGCTGCTTTGGGCTCGAAGCGTAACATCCGTTCACGGATCGAAAACGATACGAAAGAAAATTACGTGATACGTCAGGCAGTATGAGCTGAATGGGACAAAGAGTACGTTCACGTATGTCATAATCCGGAAAATGTCTTTTTACGTGACGAGTCTACGAGTTGAGGTCTACCGCGAGCTCGCGTTGCGAGTCCGCGCATACAATAGCATGCCTTTGTTATAGTGAAACTGAACGGGCTACTAAAAAAGCATGGGCCGCGAAACTGTGTATCCGAAATTTTTCTAAAAATATTATTAACTTTTTCACTGCGGGTCATTACGCCAGCGAAGTCCTTTTTTTGGCACTTTTTTTCAATGTGTATAAAGTTTTAAAATCGGATTGGCCGTAGAATATGCAAGACTTTCATACAAAAATAAGTCATATTAAATAAACAAAAGGAAAACTGTAAATACTAGGGATAGAAAGGGCGCGCTATTCAAATGACGAGGAGTGTACATATACGTATGTACATAACTATTGTTGGGTTTAAACGGAAAATCCCGCTTTGTTACGTGTGCCTTCATACCTTTTCTGCTAAATGTTTACCATTTTTAATGGGGAAATGTGCCATACATGTATGTATGGAGTATGTACAGATGTTTTCATGCATTTAATTGCTAGTACTGCAGTCGTATGTATGTAAGTAATGATAACCAAACAAATTTAGTTATATGCGCATGCGCGCAATGCACGATGTTTTCGCTCGTTACAGTCTTTGAGTCTGTGTAAAAAATTTTGCCACAGTTTCAAAGCACAATGAGGAGTGCATTCCATGTGTGCTCTAAATGCATACATACATACACATATGTATGTATGAAGGCTTGTATATTCACCATATTGCATGCCATCAGCTACCGAGGTGAGCGTACGTGTCTTCATACTGGACATAGATTGGTATTATATAATTTTCAAACTGCACAAATTCACACGAACATTTTTAACTGTAGAATTTATTTATTTTTTTCACAAATATTTCTTGCAAAATTTAATTTATTTATTTTCATCATTTTTACAGGTCATAAAAGTCACCACTTAAGCTATTTCACTAATCAACCGTTGCCAATATGAAGCTTTCCCACGCGACAGCGACAGCAGTTGCGGTAAGTTAACAAACGCATTCACATGTACACGTACATATGTACATACATACCACACGCGAAACTTCGGAATCTACACACTTATTCTCCTAATTAAACCACTCTTTTGAGACTCACTTTTGCTTATACTCTTTCTCATTTGCAGCTGATATGCGTTGCACACAGTTTTGTCCGAGCTGAGCCTCCACCGAGCAACGGCTATGTGCCTCCACCCTCGAATGGTTACAGTCCACCAGCTAGCTCCTATTTACCACCAGCTTCCGGACCAGCGACGCCACAAAATGGTTATGCACCAAGCGCTCCTGCAGATGGTCCATACGCGAGTCCGCAGGGTCCGCCAAGTACAGGTTACGGCGCGCCTCCAGCATCCAGCTATGGCGCTCCACCTAGTAAGCCAAGTTCCAGTTATGGACCTCCGAAGAAACCCCGACGTCCTGCTAAGGTGCCGGCTTCAACTTACTCGGTGCCACAAGCACCCGTAGCATACTATGGTCCTCCAAAGCCCAGCTACGGTCCTCCTAATTCACCACCAGCTTCCAGCTATGGCGCTCCTCCATCACCACCAGCGTCTAGCTATGGCGCTCCTCCGTCACCACCGGCGTCTAGCTATGGCGCTCCTCCTTCATCTGACTATGGCGCTCCTCCTTCACCGCCTGCATCCAGCTACGGCGCCCCACCATCGCCACCTAAAGCCAGCTATGGCGCTCCTCCAGCACCTAGCTACGGCGCCCCACCATCACCACCGAAGGCAAGCTATGGCGCTCCCCCAGCTTCTAGTTACGGAGCACCACCATCACCACCCAAAGCAAGTTATGGTGCACCACCAGCACCAAGCTACGGCCCACCTCCATCACCACCCAAAGCCAGCTATGGAGCACCTCCGTCGCCAAGTTATGGAGCGCCTCCATCACCCAGCTATGGAGCTCCTCCATCACCACCCAAGGGCAGCTATGGTGCTCCACCATCACCACCCAAAGCCAGCTATGGGGCGCCACCAGCACCGAACTATGGCCCGCCACCCAAAGCCAGCTATGGTCCACCTCCATCACCACCCAAAGCCAGTTATGGTGCGCCACCACCACAAAGCTATGGTCCGCCTCCATCCCCACCCAAAGCAAGCTATGGTGCGCCACCAGCACCAAGCTACGGCGC